TTCCTGCAATTTCACTAAAACCAAGTGTTTGATGACATTACTAATTGCAAAATATGCTATCACATAAGGCCCTTTGCTATAAGTGACAAGTTCTTTATTTTTAAATCTGAAATTCTTCTCGTTAGTTTTAGAATATATTATATTATCTGCTTCTGGTTGAAAAAATCAGGGGTCTTATCTCGATAACTTAGCTTAAGAAGATTTTAGTGTTCCAGTCATCTGATTGGTCAATCACTTAAATTGATTTTATATTCAGTTTTATCATCAAATCAGATTACTGTATTTCTAAAAATCTGGATTTTATCTTTGTTAAATTTTTGAGAATAAGGCCCCTGGTGACTCAACTTGCCATCCATGATCTGATGATAAGCGTTATGCATCTAATAGTGCCAATTTGTTATTTCATCTTTTTGGTTCAGCTAACATTGCAGATATGACAGAAGCTAGTTTCATATGAAATACATGTCATATATCATATACTTCATGTCAAATCTAATACATATTAACTTTGTTATCATAACAATTAAGTCAGTAAAAATGTGCAGCCATTGTGAAGGTTTCAGTTGTTTGTTTTCTCAAGTTTCATACTTTGTTGAAACATGCCTTCCGAAAAAGTTGCGATTTTTCTGAAAATTCAGACTAAGATTTTGAAAAAATATTGGACTTGTTAGTACTAGTTTGTAAGGAGTTTGTTTTGCCAGTGTAAATGTTTAAAGGTTTACAGATTGGTAAAGATAATAAAAGATGGATACTTTCATCTCATTAGTTTTCTAATAATATTACCTACATCAATCTCTTGACGTTATTTCACCAATTATTTTTTAGTTCTAGACCTACATCGATTACTTGATCAATGATTTTCACTCAGAAAATATCTAACAACTTTAGTCTCACAATTTTTCACTCCATTTCACCATTGATGAAAATTTCAGCATCTTAAATTGCATCCATTAGGAAAACTAAATTTTACTGTTAAGTTTAGTCAGATTTTTGTGATGTAATATAAGATGGAATATAGGTTAATGGTTCAATAGAACAGACAGAAAGTACAGAAAAATCATATAAACACTATTTTCCATGTGGAACATTTCTTTTAAATTTGCACCAAGTTAGGGGAGCGGACAAGTAAGTATATGCAGATCATAACCATCCAATTGATCCAGATCCTGACAACTAACAACTACCCAATCTGAGATATAAGTTACTGGAAGCTTAACTCTACATTACAGTCATCTTCACAATATCAAACTATTACGATCTACATCTTAAACATGCCTTCACTACAAATACAGCCGTCTTTCTTGAATCATGTTTGTAAATGTAGTGATTTGATTGGATTGTACACTAGCAAGTGCATCCAATAAGAGGCTTCGAAAAAAAGGTTACTAACAGTAAGCCACAATGATCAGTGTCTTTTTGTCCAGGGTTCTGATTGGCTGTATTTGCTGGAGTATAATCCAATCAAATCGATGCATTCCTCCAAATAAGAAAATCTGCTATTGGAGTCAACGTATAAGCCAAAAGATGTAATAGCATGACATTGTGAAGATACATTGCAGTGTGATTCAGAAACTTGTAATAATTCACAAAATACCCCGTACTATTCAAATGGTTGGATATCAGGGTGGAGAATCATGTGATCATATCAACAAGGTTCAACCTATGATTTTACCTAGTTCAGCTTTACAGATTCCATGATAATTGCCAAGTGAAAGAATTGGTGGCACTTCAAATACAAATTATATAGTTAAAATAGTATTATACAAGACTAATCCTGTGATAGAAGCGAGGGAATCATGAAATGTTTTCATTCATCATTCTATTTAAGTCTTAACACCAGATCTCTCTGCTTGCCAAAATTACCATTTTATTTTCAAAACAAATCTGTTGCTAATCTACTTCTTAAATCTCTTATATCAAAACAAATAATTGCCTTTGACTTTGAAATTGTGTTGTAGCATCGACTTATTTTTTTTCTACTTAGCCAAGTTTCCAGAAACATTCTACTACAAGTCTGTGTGTAATTCAAGTAGAGATGTTATTGCTACAAATTGGAAAAGGCAATTGTACTTTTAAAATTTTCACTGTTTAGTCATGCACGACTGTGCCATATATAGAAAAGACATACATAGAAATATTGTATTTCTGAAGCAGTTACATATATTCAAGGTCCAAATCAAGCACAAAAATTGCAAATCTATCTCTTAAAAAATCCTACCATAGATAACGTCTGTAATACTGAAGGTATAAGATCTTCAATGTTCTAAACAATGATTGAAAAACCAAGAAATTGAACAATTCTGCATTTAACAGTGTATAAACAACTTTTTAATCTATAACTATCAAAGAGTTAACCATAAAAAACAGTTTTATTCTTCAGGTCTATTTCAATCTTTAGGATAATTCAAATTCTAGAGGTGACTTTACTTACAGCTTCAATTTGAATACCAAAATACCATAAATAGTAATATTGACTGGTTGAATGTAACTCCACAATTATTATCATTATAGAAAGGAATAATACTGGCAATTTCTAAGAATGGTCTACATTGCTAGTGAAGATCAGTTCTTGCAGGATTCGAGCCATTATTGAATGAAGTTATTCTAGATTAATACTCAAAGAGTTGATAGAATGAAGAATGACCTCAGGGACATTTGTTTGCACTATCAGAGTCATTGGCCTATTGATGCTTAATTGAATATGAAAATAACATTATTAGCTATCTAGACTGCCCGAAAGGATGCTGTCCTGTTCTGTTTGATAAGAAATATATCAAACATAGTTGGGGAAGGGATGTCAGACCGACAAACCTGAGTCACATTAAGGAACTGGTTATTGTAGAGGAGCATAGCCTGTCAAGCCACACCTGCCACACAAAATAATTTTACGGGTGGAGTTTTTTATAAAATTAAAGGTTTTCTAATGAATACATCAAATAACATTATTATCTATGTAGACACTTTAAAAGAAATGTTGTTTGACATTATTGAAAAATGCTTAATGGTAATATTAAGCGTTTTTTAATAGTTAATTGCATATTTATGGATAATTACCAAGTTTTTTTATTTATCGGATTATGTAAGGATCATGTTATGTTATTTATGGCACCAAGTTTAAAATTCTTAAACTTTATGTTAATTCTAAGACGTAGTATCACTTCAAGTTGCTATCATGTAAAGATCTGCCAGCTCGTGAAATGATAATTTTGCATGGTATTATCAAGATACAGATCAATCAACATAGAAACATTAACATTAAATATATACAAAATTATCATTATCAAAAGCAACAACAGATGTTTGGGGACAATATCTAACATAATTCTATTATATATAATATTTCATTCTAACTGTCAATATATAAATATGGCTGTGATCAATATATACCATAATATTAGGACAATAAAATTTCACTCGTCTGTAACAGAATACAAGCCATTTCGACAGCAGACATTCAACTCCAACAAGTGAAAGAGATTCTTCATTCTTTATGTGTTATGTTATTAATGTTAGAAATTGTATTTGTCTTTAGATAGGAAGACTAGTGACATGTATGGCACCTAATAAACAAGACAATATCTCAACAAGCTATTGACCATGTTGTTCACTGACCTACAGTTAACAAATTTATACCTGTAGAATTGTTATAAACTTTAAGAAGCCAGATGCTACGTTTACCCCATCGTGTCCAAACCTCACCCCCATTTGTCATACTACATCGAGACTGGTAATACAAGTAAGAGAAATTCATAGATAAATATTGTCCAATCAAAATTGACCCTACTGCCTTAGTAGTAAAATTTCTGCCACTCAAAACAAATCACTCGTTGATGCTTTGAAAGCTGCCTGCCATTACATATTTTGATTTAAATGTACGGTAGAGAATTGAGTAAGATTTTCGGTAAAGAATTGAAACCGAGAGAAAATCAAACCTTACTTTGGAATAATTACGTGGAAAGAAAGTGTTCTTCTTATCTCTTCTAAGGGGTGGTGGCAACGCGATGTTGTGTTTTGTTTACATTACCTTATTTCCGTTCTACCGATCTGATTGGTGAGATTCAATTTCATCATGATACGATGCATTTGCCCCATACTCTGCCCCTTATAAGACCCTGTGATAATCAGATCACATAAACAATGCATGGTCATTATCATCAACGGGATAACTAAATAATATACAACTGAAACTCTACAAGACCATAATAATCTAATAATTACCATACTATGTATCATAAAATCTTTTTTTTAAACAAACAGAAAACTTGAGAAAAGTATGTGCCTTTTCTTTTCATTCAGGACTTTTTAGTAGTCCTAACCTTATATCAGGACGGCGACATTAGCCTACTGAACTACTAAATGAGCTTTAAAATGCACAGTCTGGGTCAAGGTCCACTGCCCCTTTTCCTAAAACTTATATGACAACATAAGTATATCAATCAATCTTTATTCTATGGGAGGTACATATAAATGTGCTCATCATTTGCTTTGGACAAGTAAAACTTTTTTCTTTGGTTTTGTTTTAATATTTCTATGTAGCTCTACAATTGATGTATTGAGTTCTATCTCCACATTTGTATTTCTATATTGCTCTACGATTGATGTATTGAGCACTTTTTCTATATTGCTCTACAATTAATGTATTGAGCACTTTTAACAGTGGTATTTCTATATTGCTCTACAATTATTAATGTATAGAGCACTTTTAATAGTTTGTTATTGTTACTCAATAATCATGTACAGACCAGACAATAACAGGCAATATTACAGGTTGATACAGACATTACAGGATACAGACATTACAGGTTGATACAGACATTACAGGTTGATACAGGCATTACTGTTATGAATAATTGCAATGTCCAACATTGTAGCAAATTTGTATTAAAAATCTTTAAAGAGGCCATTTTTTGAAAATTGTTCATATTTGCTTTCAGATCCAGTGACAAATTATCGACCTCTTTCTCAACATAAGAAAACGTAAACAAAAATTGGAAACATACCTCGAGTTTGGCATTGCATTGAAAAACTGTCTGTGCTTTGTGACACAACTGGGCAAAAGCAGCACTGAGTGCGGTCATCTTTTGACGACCCTCGAACGTAAGTTCACATTGGTCCGGGTCAATTTCACCCAAAAGTAGATCTAAATCGACAAAAGCTTTGTCAAATTCTTTTTCTAGAATTTCTAGCCAGCGAAACGACAGCGTGGCAGCCATTTTTAATATGTCGGCATGAATAATATATGTTTTAGTTTCGTACTTTGTAGGTTTCAAAATAAAATGTTGAATGATTCTGAGTAATATATGTTTTAATAAATTCCATTATCATTCAAATAAATTATCTACAAATTCCAAATGCGAATAGGATATAGATCCATTGAATTTGTTATCTGATTTACTTTATGGAAAGCATCTACGTACACTTTCATAAAAATGTATGGGTAGACAAACACAACAAATAACATTTAGTAAGTTTTCAGTCTCAGTAAGAGACTCAACCTGCATGTTTTGACGGTTCATTAATGAAAGATATTTTTCAGTTGGGAAATAACTACAATAACGTGTACTATTATTTACTATTTCACCGAAGTGAAATTATTGTATTAAACTTCCAAACAATTTGTGTCATTCGCAACACTTTTGAAGCCAAAGGGGGACAGCTACCACCCTTGCTGCGCCGAAAGCTAGTTTTTCGGGCAAAAATATCATAACTAGGTTAGAAATTCGGGCTATCTCAGATATTTCGCATCTTTACTCTAAAACAATATACCTTATAGCTTTACCATATATAATCCCCCTTTCGTCTTCAACACGAGTACCCCCCCCCCCCCCCTCTTAAATCTCCAATATGAATTATTATCCGTTAGTCTTCAATTAAACTTACTCTCTTCAGTATCCAACATGTATTATCCCTCTTTTAATCTCTGATATTAATAATCTCCCTTTATTCTTTAATGTGAGTAATAATTTACTCTTTAACATCTACTAAGGCTTTTCGTCTTCAACATGAGTAACCCCTTTAGTCTCCAGCATGAGTTATCCCTTTAGTCTTCAACATCGCTTACCGCCCTTTAGCCTTCAACACCCCTTATCCGTTTCGTCTTCAACACGAGTAGTCTCCAACACGAATTATTTCCCTTTAGTCTCCAACACGAATTATTTCCCTTTAGTCTCCAACACGAAGTATCTCTCCCCAGTCTCCAATTATTTCCCGTCATTTAATCTCCATGAATTATCCCCCTTAGTCTTCAACATAAATTATCTCCCTTCACTCATCAATGGTACTTATCGTAGATTCAAAATGAGCCACCCAACCCATAATATCTCCTTTAGTTCCCAAACTCTTTTACCATCCTTCCTTCATCAACATCACTTACCAATTTCGACTTTAACACGAGTTTTCCCTCTTGACTCTCCAAGTCTCCAACTTGAATTATTTCCCTTTAGTCTACAAACTTACCTATTTAGTTTTATACTTTATTATCCCTCTCTCTGGCCTTCAACCTACTAACCCTTTTTTGTAATATAAATAGTAACTTATTACCTGTCAACCACCCTAGCCTACATACCTGTACCTGTGCAATGTTACAACCTAAAATTCCTTACCTCTTGTCCACAATAATTTTGCGCGTAGAGATCGAAAAAAGAAAATATGAAAATTAATTCATCCACAGTAATTGAGTAAGAACCCTTCAATGTGTATGGATAGCATTAAATATATATTACAGCTTAGCTAAGGTACCCCGACCTTTATTTTCCTAAAGATAAAACTCACCCAGAATTAAAAATTAGCGACCCACGGACCGAGCCCAACAATCAATTCTTACAAAACTCGCATAGTCTTGCTTATACATTGAAATGTTGGGATTCAAAATATGCCGTGGCATTCACCATTTCAAATTTCCCACAAGATTTTACATTTGAGGAAACAGAAAGATAATTTTAGTATAGAATTGAGTCAAGGTTAACTTAACTTTCTCAGGCATTGTTATACGTAACGCTAAACTTTTGAATTTTGAATGATATGTTTCTTGTTACTTATATTGTTTAATTTGCTAATAGGCTTACTTTCTGAAGCACAAACGCCATTTTTTTTCTAGAAGTTGTTTTTAGAGGTTATTGTTCATAGAGTTTCTTAGTATATAACTGTGTATAACGAGCCTTCACTTATCCAATACGTAATATATTTCATATTTGAATTCAAATGAGGTAAATACCAAGTAGGTATATCTTTAAAGTGTTAACCCTTTCTGTAACACCGGGCATCACTAATGGTTTAATTATTTTTCATTTTGAATAATTTCCAAAGTTCCTAAGATATATACGTATTATATTGCCTTATAAAAGTCTATATCCCCGTATATCTTCTTTATAATTTATTACGTTACTTCTTATCATCTTAATTCTGGAGAAAATGGGAGCCAAATGTTACAGAAGCGGACCTAGAATTGCGACAAGAGTAAAGTTGAGCCAATGAAATGAGAGAAGTAGATATATAGTACGAGGATTCCGATACAAGGTTCCCACAGTCGTTATCATGACGCTGTAGCCTCCACACACAATGTACCAACCATATATTACGCTTCTATTACTCTATATAGTGATAATAACTTTTGTAAATTGTGAAATAAATTTGGACAAAATTGATGGAAGTTGTAAAAAACAATGTGATTCTGCACCCGTAAGTAGAAACCATTATTCCTTTTGTTAAACTAAAAATCTATTACATTTAGACACGTTGACACCTATATATATTTATCATTTTAACTATTCTTGATGCTTTTCTTTTGTTAACTTCGCTCTTTTAGAGTGAAAAATATGAAAATAATGGATGAAATAATTGAAAAATTAATTCGTACTAAACATTCAAACGATAAAGTTTCTCAAAAAGAATGATATTTCAGATTAAGCCTTAAGGAAATTATAAATCACTGCGTCAAAGATGGAATGAAAATCACTCTTCAATAAATGAATATAATTCCAAAACAACTCTAATCAATAATTTCAGAGAAATCTGAAATTAAGGTTTACTATAGTACATTTAAACTGTAATGAAATTTCAAATCTTTGAATCAAAGTTTTCGGCTCACAATTCCATTTAACGGCCGGAACAATAGACATGTCTACTATTTTTATACAGTAATGAAATAAAACCTTTTCTGTGAAAATCATGATACAAATGTCCATCGATCTGAACCATTGAAATTAAGGCCTGTCTAGAATTGTATAGAAGTTACTTTATAGTGGACAACCACCTGTAGTTTTTAAACTGTAGTTAAAGGAACCGTAAGGTAAGTTAAAAAGCAGGGCGCATAATTTTCTCATCAAAAATCAAGGTTATCTAAACTGTATGTTGTACAGACGAGGATTCAATACAATATGTAATTTTGCAGTTCTTCAGATAAGTGGACGAAAGTGGAGGTCCTCCTGAAACATGGCATTTATTTTGGTAAAATGTTCGGCTACAGATGCTTTATACTATAATTGTTCAATATCTACAGTTACTCTCGACAAAGTTAAAAGTTTTGAATAGATGGAGGCATTTCTTCTAAGTGGTTTTGAAATATTGCCCGATGACTTACTTAGTACTTTAAAGGCAACATTACTGTAATTACCGATAGAAAATGGATATAGTGGATATAGTGGGGAATCTTCATCTTTAATAATTTGGCAATAGATATTCCTAATCGTGAACATTTCAGAAAAAGATGTGCTACACAACAGCCCACTCTTTTTTGGCTCTTTCCTTCAATAATAGAAATACCCTTTTTAGCCTTTTTTTTTAGAATATATTTGCTACTTTAAGCCAAGATTAAGACTAGCCTTGATTAAGATTAAGTCGAACGTTAATCAAAGCTCTCGGGTAGAAGAATGCAGTGGAATGTGGTTTACTGTGGTCTGAAGTATGTGGCAATTTGAATGGGTAAATGTTGCTGTGTTCCAGATAAACTGTGACATATCTCGGTGGAGGGATGGTGCCATATTTCCCGCTCAACTGACGATGTACATGAAGTTGACACTGGGATTCATACCCTACTCATATTACCACGAAAAATACGAAGAGATGTTTTCAACCGCTCGGATTTGTTTACACTTTGAAAACAGATGTTAGCTAGAAGTTAGAAAAGAGAAAATTGATACAGACATTTGAGTTTCATGGCGTGGTGAGATGTTCTTTCTCTATACCTTAATTGCCAAACTAATGACCAATTTTTTTACTCAACAAGTGGGTCTTCTGATACCCCTTGACACTTCAGTAGAATGATGGCTATGGTAGAGGTTAGTTGGTAGTGAGTTGATGGTTGTCTGTTGGACAATCAGGTACCCCAAACCTGAGTTGCCATGAGACAAGAATAATTCCTACCAGTCCTTCGAGGATTTTGTTAAGCCTCCAAATCCTTCTTTCTCTTAGGAATTCATGAAAGCTTGAATTCTAATCCAGCCATTATCCTTAGCAACTTTTATTTCAATGACATTGAAATCCTTCTCAAGGTCAAATAGTTAACTGAAGTATGAATGAATGAATTCATTAGAGTTGGCCAAGAAATAACAGATAAATGTTTAACTTGGAAGAAAAAATCAGTTACAAAGTTTAATGTAGTACACTATGACCTTTAATTCTTGTTGAAATCTGGAATTGGCTGTTGATGGCTTGCTTCTTTAGCTTACTGGCTCAATGGAGTTCAATGTAATTCTTTGATCTAGTTTTAGTTTTATATGCAGCTTAAATTAGATCAAGGGTTTTCAACCATTTTCTGTCTTTTACCCTATTTAGGATCCTTGATGGATTGCATTACCTGCCCTTCCCCATATATATCCTTACTATTTCATGATTTTCTCTTAAGTGACGTTTCCACATGGGGCCCAGGGGAGGGCCAGAAATGATGCTGCACCAGCTTTGGCCCCCACTTTAAAATTTGTTATCATTTTACATACTGAAAGAATGGCCTGAGGCCCCCATGGAAAATTTTGTGGCCCCTGCTCGACCCCCTTGCCTGATGTTTCCTAGAATTGCCAATGTTTCTCTTATGTTTTTCATGTTAGAGAATATCACCTGTCTGAAAACTACTTAAAAGCTAATTATTCAAATTTTCATGCCAGACTACAAAGGGCCTCATTATCTCACATAAATTTCAAGTATGGCACCATGATGAGATAGTCCTTTCCAGTTTGCTTGTTGATCATTACTGAAAATAGTTACTTTCACTTTATTAGTA